ATTATTATTATTATTATTATTATCTGTCACTGATTTTGTTGGCGCTGATCGAATCATTCATTGAGAAGAACGGTTCGACTTCGTTAAGACTCATTCGATTCGGGTATTTACCATCACGAATGTCTTGAACAAGGATTTTGTATTGATGAAGATGTTTTAATTGCATTTTCGACAGCCACAACCACGTTTCATGTCTTAATCATGAAATATTACTGATAGTGAGTCAGCGGTAAAATTTTAAGAATAACGAGAGCAATAGCAATAATAATGATAAGAATGACATGAAGAATGACAAAAATGAGCAGAATAATGGTAATGATAAACATTCTAACTATCATAAGATCAAACCAAACAAGATAACAATAATAGCAGCAATAATATGTATTTGAATATCGCAAGTAGCAGCTGAACACTTTCAGAGGTGCCAAAAGAACTAGCGTTAGAAATGTATCAAATCCTTTCGGATGCCGACTCATCTGTATCTGATATGGAAGCCGTCTTAAGTAAATTGGCACCAATAATTCTGAAGAGCAAAGATAAACCCAAAGTTGAGTACGTTCTGAATATGGTCAAAATTATGATCGAGAATCGGATCAAATTGGTCAGTGACATCTTATTAATTTCATACATGTAAAATCCGGTGAACATTTCAAGTTTCCATCAAAACAGGCGAATTAATTGGAAAATAACTGAAATATAAACAATGATAAAAGCCGATATAAGAACATTGACCAACTTATAATGATAGTGAAAGGATTCCTTGAGTTATGATAATGAGATTGATGAAAACGATTGACACCTATGACGAAAGCAAAACAAACAAGACAACAGTGAGCTAGAGTGAATCTATTCCATGAACAGATCCCACTAAATGTGAGTCCACATCTAGCTGTTATCGTTACCATCACAAATATGGCATTGTTTTACCTCGGGTACCCCTTTATCAGAGCAAGTAACGAAATTAGGACAAACAATCATTCGTCTTCAGGAATTGTACCTCGAATACATACCGAGTTGGTAATTGATAAGATATAATGGCTAATCTTAAGAAGAAATGAACCGTTTAGGAAACTGAAAGGAATCATTGTTAATCAAACACCAAAAACTGATCGCAACAATGATAATGATATAATGTTCATGATATGACGCTTCGTATCGTCAAGCATTGTTGACTTACAGCAAACCGAAGTGGGCAAGGAAGCGCAAAAAGCAATCGATGAGATCAACAAGCACAAAATGACTGAAGCAGAGGTACTTGCTCAACTTGACGAGACAACACGAAAAGAGGTTAGCCGCTCTTTCTGTTAACAATTATTTATCAATCAAACTATTATCATCACTTTCCACAACTTCATTCTCGTTATGCCAATCGTCACATTCATGAGTCTCTAGGCGAAAATCACTTCAGGCTTGTAACCGTGTGCCGTAAACTACAGTTTAAACAAATGAGATTGGCCACTGGTCTTAGAAACAGCTAAACGACGCATCGCATGATCTGAATGTTTTGTGTGCGTGAATTTGAGCCGTACCGTTGACAATTTGATTGCTTCAGGTGCAACAATATTACGCGAAAATCAAACAAACTCATCAACAACTGATCGAAGAGCTTCACGGAGTAGCCACAGAATATAAGGCTGAAAAGGACAAAGAGGCAGCACAGAAGCATTCTTCATCAAAGAAGGTCGAACACGAGAAGAAGGACGATAAGTCAGCTGATGCACACCACGAAAAGGACAAATCAGAATCGAGTAAAGACGAAAAAGAAGAGAAACACGACGAGAAGAAATCAGCGAAGAAAACGAAAGACGATGAAGTCCATCTAANCGATGAACATGAAAAGAAGAAGGAAGATCACGAACATGATGACCATAAACATGAACACGAGAAGGAAGACGGAAAGAAAAGCAAAAAAGCGTAGAAAAATCTGACAACGAGAAACATTAGTGCCAAATTATGGAGATATTAAAGAAGTGAATTTTTTTAATTCAGTAATTATTCGTATTGTTTTATTCTATCGTTCCAAATCTATTTTCATGAATAAACCACCAACTTAATGAATGTTAATGAGAAGTAAAGTATGAACTTGTTGCGATGTTAAATCACTTCATTCACAATTATGAACACCATAACCTGTGAATAGCATCTCTTATATGTGTCTGAATCGTAGCCTCATTTGTTTGAATCAGAGCTTAGCTTATTGTCGGATATATAAGGATTAAGTTAGATCTCAGGCAGGCGATTGCGTGCAAACCATTAAGTTCCGCATAAGTTACAGCGGAAACATGCACCGTGTCCATAGTTCTAATAGAGCAAATTTGAAAGATGAGAGACTTACCCTTCGGAATTTAGCCGTAAACTGAAAGTCTCAAGCAGTTGTAGCCTGCTTTTGCAATGAACACATGACCTATACATTTATAACGATCCTTGCGGATTGATTTGGCTGAAATCGCAACTAGATGTTGAAGGCATATAATATTAGAGGTATGAATGTCTGTATGGAGCATAAATTTACTGCGGGATGTATGCAATGCTCTATATGTTACCAACAAGATTGCTCAGCAACTGAATAATCTGTTTACACTTTGGGATATGACAAATTCTATGCTCTCAAGATGTTATACATCTTTGTCGGTGGGAAATTCATGTTCAGTCGATACAGCTGATTTTTCGAAGGTATAATATCTCTTTGCTGTACAAATACCACTTCCAATCATCAGATGGGACAGATTCTCTGCTATAGAAAAATGCACACGAATATGTCGTCAGGGGATTTGCAATCGTCTTAATTGTATAGGTAAAGCTCAGTTTTTGAAGATATCCATGTAGCTGATAAATTTCAATTTACCACCGAACTCTGTACGTTTGGTTTCTGTGATACTCAATAATACGCTGCTGTGATGCTCAATAGGAATACCTCGGGCAGTATTTTCGACTGCTTTGAACGCTCAGAACTGCTTAGCATTCCAAATTTTCATTTTATTAATTGAAAGAATAGACAGATCCACTGGTACCACGGAAGTATTTATGAAGTTAAGGGATTTTGCTTGATTCCTCAACCGAAATTCAATATCTACAGCTAAGCCGTATAGATGATTGATTTCCGGCTAATAGAACCAAACTGGATGCGATTCTCCTCTCACTGGTAGATGCAGGTATATATGATTTGACACGAGGTTTTAAATTATTACTTAATTGAATGGATTCAATTCTGTAAATATTATATTCCATATTGTCAAGTACCTCTCTCTACACTGGAACTGCTTACTGCACTACAAAACTCATCGATAGTAATTAATTATTCCGGTCTGATATTTAGTTGCCATGCTGTATGTGATAATCAACACCTATGTAGACTTTTAGGGAAAGATTCTGCGGAATATTCAGAAAATTATAAGTTTTAAGCATCTTAATAGCACGTATCGTTGATTCGTGCACAATTGCTAGCGGCCTTGTGCAGGCGCAATTGAATGTGTTAGACCCGGAACGATTCTTAACGTCTAATGAACTTTCCGTTGGTAAGCTTCCCAGTTTTCGAATAGCTCACATAAATGCTATAATAATTGATAAAATTACTGATAAAGTTGCTGATTATTGATGATAATCTTTATTTACGTTCTTCATTTTCAATTCTACGTTAATAAGTAATTAAATTTTTTGATTTAATTTTAATTTCGGATTTTCAGTTTTCAATCGTTTATTTTTGAAACTTTGCTGATTCATTTTAGAACGTGGCCAGTCGAAATTCCACGTTGAAATTGCTGGATAATTCGGTGATGCTGGAAAATTGGATGGATTGGAACGAACAAATATAATCAGTATAGTTTCTGGTCACTTCATAGTACTTGATAGGGTCAGTTATAATTTATTTATTCAATTTCTTTAAATCGTTTTTATTCATTGTTTCATATCATTGATGTATATGCTCAAATGAATCCTTATATCACCATGAAGATGATTGAAATTTCCAATTTCATTAATACACTGATTTATTCATTNTTTTTGTAGGTAATTGTTTAGGCGTCATCTAGGCGAAAGGCTGTATTTTCTGAGTAAGCCGGGAAATAAAAGGAAGAGGTTAAATAACGGTTGATTTTCTCGAGCCCATTTTTGTCTAGAAACTTATCGAATATGCAAACCAGTGTGTATGTGGTCAAGTGGCAGTGAGGTGTGTTTTTGTGCTGCCCAGCATGGTTCAATCCCCACCATGCGAATCTTTTATCTAGTGATCAAAGACTCGAAATCTCAACTTTTTGTCTCATGTTATGACGCATCTGGTAGAGTTTTGGTTTGGTAATTGCAGGACTAATCCGTAAAATGTGGACTATGCCGAATGGTCTTAATTGGCTTTTCTCTAGCTTCAATAACAAATAATTCTCCACAGCAATCTCTTCAACAAAACAACTTTTCAACAACCCGCTCCTCTAACTTCTTCGATTTCACAAGAACAAAACACTATTACAATCATCCTTTCAAATAGGCAATAAGCAAATTCATCGCACATAAAGACACAAATCTTCATACAACACAAATCACACAATTATCATATTATGCAAATCACAATCATTTATCACTTCCTGAAACGTTTACATAATACAGATGGATAATTTCAATTTACATAGAAAATCCTTCCTTTTCACGATATCAGTCGCGACAGGTGACGCCAGCAATATTCCCATAAAATCTGTCAAATTTGTGATCAGATTTGTCATCGCGCTGACGAAATTCTGCATCACAGAATAATATCCTCATGGACTTATCCAGAACTACAGTTGCACAATGATGGCGGCAGATTTTGACCGTACAATTACGGTTGAAATTATTTTGCAGTTCCATTGAAATGACATTCAACTTGTGAACAGAACGAGACTGTAAATGCTCTGCTGTGCCATGGACATACGAAAAGAATTGATGAAAGTTGACGTTAACAAATGGATGATGTCTGACATCTTGCTGTTGGTGATAAAATGGCAAGCGAAATGGCCGTTTGTGGTGACACAGTGATTTTCTTGGTGCGCTTCATTGGAATGTGATAGAAACGCATGAAGTAGGCACGAAATTCGGTGTGTTTCCACAGAAACAGAAACGGACTCAACGATGCAAAGCAACCAGAGCCAACCGATAGAACCAGTGTGATCGTACCAAAAACTACCGCTTGAATGCGTAAAATAATCGCCACCAAGTAGATCATCGATGGAAGACACCAAAATATGATATAGGCGAGCGTGATCGTAGTTTGTGTAACGATCAAGTATTTATTGCAAGCATGACCCATCATTTCGCTTCGACGTCGGTAAGCGATCATTATGAGCAGATTGCAAACTGAAATGCACATTCCGTCTGAGTGAGATAGATTCTTCCGCTGATTGTGATGAGCATTTTGCTGAAGTTCAAACAGAATCAATCCTCCAAGGAGGACTTTACGAACAACGTTGGTACCGGTGAAGATTCTATTTTAGATTTTCGAGAGGGGAATATCGTATCAAGATATTTCATTCGTTGGAATATCATTAAATTTTTGACATGAAGAGCGAAATGGAATTATTATTATAATATTTTGGTGGAGTTGGTTTCGAAGTGCATCACTGAAAATGAACACTCTGAAGGGAACTTGTCAGAAGGTTTGTTTATATGGACATTTTCCCCGTTTCAGTCGACTGTCATGACTCTTTGGACTTTACTGTGACATTTGCTCTCGAATTTTCGCAAAGTTTTAAACTGAAGTCTAAATTCTGCTCATATAATTGGTGTTAACTTCACCAATAGTGATGATCGAGGAAATGATACAGAACAGCATGAAATACAGTCTATAGCCTTGCGTCCAAGTGGCTCCTGCAATCGAAATTTATGAGATCGTGTAGTTTAGTAAGCTTCCAAAAATCCAGTTCATTCAATATTTGATGAGGAATGATATAAATTGAGTTAAATGGTGCCAGTTCTGGGCGATAGGATTTATTCCATTCTCAAAAGATACTAGATGTCCTCAGTATAGCAAAAGCAGTCTGTCTTTTGAAAAGATATTTTTCAAGGTCCTTTCAAATATGAAAATTGGTTATAAAATGGCATGTTAGCGACTCATTTGTTTTGGATGCAATTTCCTGCTTATGAAGTGAGTTGTTTCCGATTGGTTGATTTCGCTTGATGATTTTAAACCAGTAGTATTGATGTTTTTTATTGTTGCATCATTCAAAAATGAGACCCATTGCGGCGCACTCACGAGAAACGCTCACCTGATGAGCAGATCTCAGTGGTCTTATAGAATGGGAAATTGATGAATTGTCCAAAGAATGAAATTGTTGTAATGGCCAAATCGATCACAAATCGCATTACTACCAGTCGCACATTGTCCACCTGAAATTGCAATCTTGTGCTAGGCATTTTCAATGTTCGAGCGAGTTTATACTTGACAAATATTGAATAGTCCATGGAACATCTGGCTG